TCTTCCACCACTCTCTCCTGAAGGCTGCCCTGTTGGCAACTTTGAGCTCGTAACACCCTGCGACAAGGCTAGCAAGAAGCGACAGTTGATTCGGATCAGCGCGGTTGTGAGCTCTGCCAAAATGTCCGCGAAACCTCCTAGTTGCCGGTTTAAAGTGCAAAAGCAGGAGTTGGATTGCCAGGGCTGCACATTCGCTGATGGGGAGGGCGCTGAGAGACAGTCAATTTCTGCCTGTCAACTCACAGCCAGCAATAAATTCCGACTGGCCGTACGGAAGGAGTATATGGTAAACAACAGTGGCTGTTGCGAAATCCGCCGGTAAGTCGACTGTTTCGGGTCACAAGATCGGGGCCAATAGTTTGCAGATTTAAAATCCCCCGTTGCTACCACCTTCTGACCCACTATCTCTCCTCTAGGTCCTACCGCCTATTCCCCTGTAAGGGCTGTCCAAAAGCGCACTCCACAACGTCAAAGTGTGTGGATAATTTCCGTCTCAGACGCATAGTGTTCTACACCAGACCATCAACCGGAAAGTTCCGCGATGACAAGCACCCGATTCCCGCCTCTCTCTGCCTCAGACACGTCATTGTGGAGAAGGAGTCCTGTATCCAACAGCTGGAAGAGTCAAAAGGTAATTAAACATGTGTAGCGATGATGTGTACTCACAGTCGAAGTCAACATTCTGATGGAGACTTACGATTTGCCTTTTTTTCCATGACTAGCGGACTGCACCGACCTCATTGGAAGGGCGGGCTGCGAGGAGTTCAAGCACTTGAATCACTGCACAACAAGGCCGCACGCCGCCCGCGTCCTATGCGCCAAGGCTTGCGGACTGTGTTGATTCACTGAGTCCTTTGATGAATAAATAAAAGTTCATTACAACAGTAGCACTTTTTCCAAACCCCGAAATACCCTCAAAACAAATTTGGGGATTTTTACGGGCAGGAGGCGAGGTAGTGGACAGGTAATCTACGAAAAAGTTGGGCAAAATATAAGTACGATCACACGCGCACCCCGATTTTAGTTGCGGAAGAAGATATAGTTACAAACCCTAACTACCTAATGAAAATGAGTAGCAACAATACAATCGCTCTTGCCAAATACGGACTCCGGCCGCAAACTTTTGACCAATCGTGAGGGGGACTGACAGCCCGACATTCGTATCAGAGCCGAGAGTTTGCACGTACGGGAGGAGACTTTAAACGCGTAAACACATCGCAAAAGGAGTTGGGTCAGCGGCCTCATAGTCCAGAGAAGGAGCAATAACGAAGTTCGGATCTCTTCCAAATGGCAACCGTTAAAAGTACGAAAATGCATGCATTATTTTCTGCTCAAGGGCACTTGATCTTCACGTAGACATTCCGGTTCGTTGGCTCTGCGTCTGAGAAAAAACCGCGTATCTTAAATTAGTAGTTGAAATGGGCGAGTTGTTTCAAACTATATGACATAAACCTCGAGCCCAGAGCAGGGCCGAAACAGCGATGACAATAAAGCCCCCGGATCTCACAGGTTTTAACGCTGCTCAGCAGTTTTCCACTTGCAGCACAACGGCACTTTCACACATGAAGCTCGCTCTTGTCACTGCAACACCCACTCTTCAATGTGACAATTGGAATCAACATCAAGCTACACTGTGTAGGGGGAATATCAACGAAGTCTTGAATACCCATTCCTGACTTATCCGTTGGCTGTTCAGTCGATTGTAGCTTAAAGCTCTAAGGCAACAGGACCCCTGAAGCGTCGGGTCCATGCGACTTTGTAGTTCGGCGGCTTAGATAATGTGAACTCACCTTAACGACCCGGTAACGTTTTGGAGTAGAAGGGAAAAGACACCGGTGGGAGGCGTGTATTCTGTACGGAAGTTTGGTGGTGGCTAGAGCTGCCGGCCTGCGGGACTGCGCGAGGGTTCCTCCGCCACTGATATTTGGGCATTGCTGAATGAGTGTCCTGTGACAGTCAGTCAGTGTCCGCTTGGAGATTTGACTGGGTGATTGCAGAGATCGAAGGAGCCGGGGATTGTCTGTCCTCGCGGCCGAATGGGCATATGCTTCGTCCGCGCGAAGGCCGTGATCACATGACTCCTATCGTGGTGTCTGCGCCGGAGGCTGAAGGCATATACGCACTTGAGATGCCATGCCTGTCCCCCCCCCCAGACAATAAACAGTGTGGGGGATCAGCAGGGTTTGACAACGTGGCAGTGGCGATAGGATTTGCTCGGGCTGGTGTGATCTCGCCAATGTGTTTCGATGAATTGGACCGTTAACATGGAGGAGAGAGCGCGACCAACACAGTGCATCCCAATGAATGGTGGGATATACACATCCGTTAGTGAAGTGTTTCACTGTCTTTAGAACTCGGAGGAGGGATAGAATGTGCAGCCTGTCGAACTCTAGGTAATTTCATCGAATTAGTCACAAAGTGGGTCATCGGTCTAGGAATAGATCATGAAGAAGAATGCCGGTGATAGTGGTAACAAGACCTCTCGATCTAAACCTACGGAGTTGACACTGCTGAAGGACTGTTCTCAAATTTAGGTGGTAATCCAACGGTGGAATAATGTTTGGTACACCCACTTCATCTAGGTTCTCGACTGCCAGTTGGTTCTGCTTCAAGACTCATAGCGTCCTCGCCTGAAATTGGGTTACAAGGGATTGATGAGGTCGGAAAAGCGACTAGCACGACGCTAGTACTGAGCTGAAACAGCAACCACCCAATCAGTCACAAACGCAGTTTTTAAGGGTTCCGTTTTTTCAGTGGGGCCACTTACCCGATCGCCAACCTCTTTGCTTTCGTCTTTATCCACTTCTTCCAAGGTGACTTTCTGCATGTACCAGGGCTACTCCATCATGCCACTGACACCAGAGTCGAGGGCTTTTTTGTCTGGGTCAGTGTGCAGCTAAGAAACGGAGTCGAGCCGTGAGTCCCTGTTATTTGTTAATGCAGATAACACACTCGGTTTGAAGTTGGAATTGGTGATGAGGGCGCTGACCATGGCAGATGTCTCCATGTTCGACAGCTCAGTTGTCTCATACCAGCAATTGAAACGGTCAACAGGGATCAGCAGGAGATATTATCCAGTAGAGAGGGAAATAGGGTTTATAATATCACTGTGAAGGTGATTGGATCAAACGCTTGTTCCTGGCCGGAAAAGGGCCACGTGTGGAATTATGACGATAGACATTGGATCACTGGCTGCCTAAACGCCCTTTTGAATTTCAAGCTGCACAGCTTCCCAGAGTCGCTGAGATTCCAGGGTGGAGTGATCATACAGAGAAACTTCTTGAAGGATTTAACGGCTCCTCGCAGACACGGAACAGCCAGATATGACGGGAGCACTGTGGCCGCGGCCAGCGCGGGACGCTATTGATGCACGTTCGTGGCATGCAGCGTGGGATACGCATGCAAGTGTTCTTCTGTTAATGTGGAAATTCCCAACAGCCATGCAGAGACTAAATATACCAAGAACCAGATAAGCGGTCGCGCTCGGTCTTTTAAATGCGAGGGAGATGTTTCAGTGAATGAGACCGTTGTTGATGGTTCGATTTTGAGGCGGGAGGATTCTTGTTCGTCAGCCGGCCTTTGCTCAGCAGCCACACCTATGAGATACACAGCGTCAGGTGGGTGCAAAATAAAGGGTGAAAGCAGTCGCATTTCTTTGACTGCCGGCGTAGAACGGTTGTCTGATATCCTTGTCTTTATGTAGGTTAAAATGAGACCCAAGGGCGGACTCCGAAGGCTGCTGGTCAGTAAAAACCATAAACTTACTGCTCTTCGTAAAGGAACATGTGTTTGATGAAGAAAGGAGGGGGCAGCGTGGTCTTTACAGTCGAAAATTTAATGACGGGTATTGATGGACTACAATTACTGAGGAACATAAACTGCGGCCTAGGTGATGCCTGTTGGGTGCACACGAATATGAATGCCGACAGTAACTTGGGAAACATCCACTGACCACGAAATGGGTGGAATTACGGACTCGGAGGAGAAGACTGATCCCCTCAATTTGGGAGTTTTTCGCTTCTCGGGACTAGCCTACGTGTCGGTTAAGGCGTGGATAAAGCCCACTGAGCCAGGGAAATCAAGGATGTACAAGGCGGTCAGTTATTCTCAAAAAAGTGATGAAGTGGAACCGGTGAAAAAGCAAGTTCTGCACAGTCGCACACAAATACGCACACAGTCCTCCGTCTGACGTAAGCAACGACATCCACAATCTGCCTCGGTGAATGCGCGCAGTACAGGCGACTCGCAGGCTAATTATTTTATAGTAGGACAGACTTGCGCAGTATCCAACACACTCGATCTTCCCTCACTCGCTTTGGCAAGGCAGTGTCAAGACGACTGGAGATAAAGGTAGATGCAGTTGTCAACAACGCCACAACAACCCGCCCGGCGGTGCTACGCACGCGACATGGTTCCCACTACATATATCATGCTAAATTAACGACGATTCGAATCTTTCCTAGGCAAGAATGCTATAAAAGGCTGCATTAAGAAGGAGTCGTTGAAGCCTGTCTTTAAGTCTTGGGAAGGAACGAGTTATCCCGCCAGTCGGTGATTTTCCAAGCCGTGACTTTTAGCTCGTCCTGACAGACTCAAGATTATCAGATCTGTTATACTGATGAAAGCGTCGATGTGCGGTAAGGATAGATTCCCAGTGTCGGCATAACTCTCTTCTCTTTCTCCCTATTCACTGGTCGACTTATGAGCTTGTCAACCAATGGGTGCTTTCAGCGGGCGCAATGGCGAACGGGATGCGAAAGTCTACATCCAGACGTGCTTCAACCTCACCCCTATGTACAGCAGTAGTTATGGGCTCGCGCTCACTCTGCGCAGATAGATAAATGCGTGCAGTAGTTCAGTCTGGTCCCCTCTTGGTCCAACGCATTTGGAAAGTGGGTCGTGGTGGGTAGCACTCCAGGTGACTGTTGATTATATTGAATATCGAGCTCCTATGGCTGCAAAACCCCAAATTTGGCATATTCTTTGTAGAAACATAGACACTAGTTAATGCAATGGTAGCTGTCATCATCATCATCATCATCATCATCATCATCATCATCATCATCATCATCATCATCATCATCATCATCATCATCATCATCATCATCATCATCATCATCATCATCATCATCATCATCAGCAGCAGCAGCAGCAGCAGCAGCAGCAGCAGCAGCAGCAGCAGCAGCAGCGGCAGCTGGGTGGGGGTTGGGTCTTCTGTTAGGGTTTGATTTAAGGTTTGGGTTTGGTCAAAGATCGAGATTAATTTAAGGGCTAGGCTACTGGTTTGGTGTCATGGTTTGGCTTACGATAAGAGATAAATGAGCTGGTCGATCAGCTGCTTAAATCAAATGCATTATTTATTAAGCATGCTAAAAGAAATGTAGAAAATAATATTCTGTGTCGTTTAGGCGATGTTTGTTGCCGGCATTGGTGCAGCTTTAACCTACTCGTTACATAAAATTATATGTTTTCTAACAAAATATTATTTTTCTTGTTTAGTCCTCTTACATTAAAATCGGTGATAGCCCTTCCTCCCGACGCGTTTTAAAATGCCTTTTGTTAAATTTTTCTCATACCTACAGATTGCTCTTACATCATCTCTCGTGTGCGGTATTATTTGGAGCCATGGCATCAAGATACTTCCGTTTCACAATGGTCTTCCCAGTTTGCCCTTCGGGCAAATAGCCAGGGATTCGTGACGCAAGCGCGTTATGCTGCCCTTGTTTCATCCCCCACACATAATCGTCATCATAATCATCATCGACCTCATCGTCCCCATCACCACCATCATCATCACATTATGGCCGCTGGTATGCCGTAACCTCAGTCCGTTGGTGGCAACATCCCAGGCCTCCCGTAGTGCAACATCCCCTTACGTCCTTGTGATGATGTCTTGAATTGCCTGTCCCGCCTGAAATTAAACATGGCACTAGGGCTCATAAACTTTTAGTACGTATGACAAAGGCTGTGGTCAACATATCGCCTAATCTTCAAGTCGACGAAATAGCCTCTCAGTATTGACCAGCCAGTTATCTTCGTAGTGCTCTGCGTCTTCCCATCGTTCTCAGCTGTGTCTATATGGGTGTGTTACGGCAACTTTGTTCTCATTTTTTCTTCGTCAAGCCATAATTTTCTCCCAAATTATTCGTTTGAAACTATCGGGTTCTGGGAATTCTCACTGTATTTTTCATTTGACAGTTCCTTTCACTTCTTCTTTCAAGACTCAGGGTTGTATTTTAAAATATCTGAATCAGAGTTCATACTCATTGTCATCATAAGGACTATTTACGATGTGACAAAGCTCTCGCGGATTCAGCGATCATTAAAAATACTATCACCCCTTCAAACGTCCTCCTATATCAATTTGCCTCTAGCAGACACCGCCGCCAAAATTTCTGTATATTTTTTATAGCTGAATCATTGCCAATCTCCACTAGAAACGTACTGTGGGAGCCAAATTTTGCAAAATTTATAATAAGTTAGATTATATCAAGTCAAAGAACAGATAAAGGAGGCGTTAAAGAATCTTTATAGAATACCGACACAGAAACTACTGCTCCTTCCTATAACCAGCAACTATCTGCTAATTTACAAACAAAATTTGCGATTTCGAATGCACTTCCGTCACCTTAACGATCAAAGCCCTTGCACGCTGCATTAATTTTTCATCTGGTCGCACGCAAAGTACCGCAAACCGAAATGACCTGAACTTGCGACAGGTACGGATGATTTAGAAAAATTTTGACTAAAGCAACTAGGCTTGTCCACATCATTCGGAATCTAAGCACAGATTAACTGCCGTATAATTCCCTGTTGTACGCGATTAAGCGAAGGCGGTAACTTACAAATCCTTTTAACGCACATAAGATGCAGGTAAATATTAAGGAAATATAGTAGGTTCATTCAACGCAGTTTTCCTCATAATCTAATGCGCACCCAGAAAATTAATTTAAACTTCGGACGAAAACATATGAACTGCAAATGGGATTTCGCTTCGTGTTATTCTCGATGGAATGGATTTTTGGAAGAAAAATTAGACGCACTTCTAGCCTCTTATGGTTTTTTTAAGACGCCTTCATTTACTGTGAGAAGTAAACGAACACAATGTCATGAGCTAGCAGTGAGTTATGATGTGTTAACCGCACAAGCCTCATGCCCTGTTATCATGGCGCAAGAGCATACTAAATCCTTTGCTTTTACAAGTTGTGTTCATATAAGCAGAAGTTGTATGCTTTTTAATTCCTTAAAATTTTGAATTTTTTCATCTGGCAAGTTTTCCACGCCTTAACATTCTTAATCCGCTATTCGTAACTCCCATTGACGTCTTTCGTACTGTTTTTAGCAACAGTGGATTGTCCGGCCGCAAGAAGGCCCGCACCAACTCACCATTTTCTATGTTTCAGCTGAAAGGTCTTGCGCAGATTCTGTTGGAAGTTTTCCCCGCTTGGTGTTCAGCTGCCTGCCTTGGGCGTGCTCAACGCGTGTACACCATGCAAGAGCTGCTCGATTTTTACGCAATATGTGAGACTGAGCATCCGTTCCTCCATGCAAAACTCTCTCCGCAACCAGATAGCCAGCAATACATCATGATGGATTACCGTGTGGTGTCAGACTGGGGTGAAGTTGGCGGGAAGTCAAAAAAGAAGACGAAACGGCGATCTGTGGTGCTGTGCTTCGGACGAGCCTTTTTCTTCTTCACTTTACGGACTAGAAGGAGTGTCCAAACGGAGTTGATGAGACGACTCCTGTGAATGTAGTACCTACCCAAGAACCAAAGCAGTGAAGTGCTTAATAATTCCTTTTGACCGCCGTTATCCCCCATCTTCATTGAGACTATACGCTTCCCGTCCCTTTATACCCTATTTCACTATATAAATCTTTAGTTTACAGACCGTTCTCCTTCTACTGAGTTCCGCAATAGCTTGAGTTTCTGATTGAAGAATGAGTGACGCTGAAGACCCATGCAATTCAGAGTTGATGTACGGTACTGATCTCAAGCCAATTCTTGAAGGAGCAGTAGCCGCAAAGATCATTGCAGTAAAGAAGACAGGACAAGTGAGTGGCCCGCCTACTACAACCGCACTAATCAGGCTCTCAGAAATATAGCCCTGGATGGGTTAAACAGGATGCTGGAAAAGGTCTAAAAAAATCATGTGCCCGTTTTGTTTTTGACCGATTTTTGAGTCTGTCAGTCTTTTGTAGAATTTTAAGGACGGCTGACTATTATTGATCTTTTCACTCACCAGCACTTGTGTCAAGGACAGACGAATAAATGCGGCGTTTTGAGGAGGTGTGCGTTGTTCCACCCATTGATTCTTGTGCCGAACAGTTCATTGATAACAGACGCGCTTGACTAAAAGAGGCTCAACAACTCGGGAGTCTACGTTAAAATTCTTAATCAAGTTTCTCTCTTCGAAGGAAGACAAGAGATAGCTAGATAAATTTGAGGTTGTACAGTAATTCAAACCTGGTAACTTTGTACACCTTAGTAGCAAGAGTATACCGGCTCTCTATCGAGTAGATGGTGAATTTTTGGTATAGGTATATCGAGATGATGACGATTTTGGACATGCATATGGAAATATACATAGTCGGTATTTAAATTTTGAGATACTCGAGAGACGGCTACAGCAGAACGTACGTTCTGTACGTACAGCATTCCGTGCGATCCTTTAGCGCAAGACAATACCAGCGTTCGATTCTCGATCGACCTGTGTCCTTATTTTGTCCCTAACCGTCCCGTAAACCCACTTACGTAGTTTGGCGTTCACTTTGCGGGATTCCATAACCGTTCTTAAAGGACGGCCTAGGGGACTCATGGGATGCCGAGTAGCCTCCGTGGCTCCGGATATCGACTGTCAAATGAAGGCCGACTGAAACTCCCGCTGACCGCCCAAAAAGCGTCTAATACCTTCGAGGGCAAGATTCTGCCTCTGCGAGACCTGCGCCACATGTTTGCATGCGCCCATTCACGGATGGCTGACAGAGGCCTTCTGATGACGTATAGTTTGCGTTTCTTCTAGAAGACGTGTGTTGTAGATGTTTGCGTCTATACTTGGCTCCAGTGGTTCTTAAAGTTTTTTTACATCGTAGTTCTTTTATCGCTTATTGGCGATGATGTGCCTTCATAGCTCATGTAAGAAAGAGCTCAGTTAGTCGCTGGCCATCGAGCGCGTTTCGAAGATCTTCCCTCTGGAAGCTCGCCCATGATGGTCTGTACAAACGTAAAGGGAAATTAGCGGTTGACGTCGCATTATGTCATTGACCGTGCTGTGGCTATAGCCACTTTCTCCCTGCAATGCTCGTATACCCCTAACTACGAGGACTCTGCGTTTGTAAACCCTCCAAACACCGTTCTCAAAGGCGGAGGGACAGTATGCGGCTTGCTATGAAGTGTCAATGATTTCACTCAAAAGAAAATGGGTCTCCCGTTCAACGCAGACGTACTTCGTAGATGTTGGCAAAGGAGCACATCGGAGAGTGTTATCTATGCTCGCCTTATAAACCATTAAAATTAGGGACCGCCTAGTATAGTCAGAATAATCAGTCCTTGTAGTAAATTTGTAGAACACTATATTCAGATAACTGCTTCCCTTCGATAGTCTGTTTTTTGCATACGCAGCCCCCATCTGCGAGTTTGCGAATGGCTAGTGACTAGATTAGTTGCTTGGGCTCTACCTGTGCGAGCAACTCAGCCTCTATGCCATATCCCCGCCACAGACCCTAACCACGCGTAGGGACTGTTGGGTGGATTGTGTCTGCAGGAACTTCTGACCACATCCAGACTCAGTCAATCACAAAATTACCCACAGGCATACCGAAGGGATTGGCCCTAGACAAGTGTAATTACATCAGGGGAAAACATTTTGTGGTGTCCCATCTTTGTACTTTTGTAAAAAATCGGTTATCATTTAGTTAGAATTTCGACTGAACCATTATGCTAAGAGTGAGCCTATAAGAAGACAGCGTCTATGTTATTTGGTAGACTACATTAATACTTAAACGTTGAGCCAAGTAGTAGTTAAACATACAGGTGGTCCGAACTGCCGACTTTGCCCGGCGGTGCGTTATGCCTCAGGCGGTAATTTCTCCCGCAAGCAGATCAACTGAAGTTGTGAGTCAAAGGGCCGTGGCTGGAGAAATCCCGCATGTATTGCTGGGACGTCCGGCTTCCTCCTTCCCAAAGAAACCTAGACACATCTACAGTCGCACCCACAAGGTCGCTGGGTGAATCATCCAACCGAAACTCCGACGGCCTAGGTGCAAAAAGCGGTGTGGGTGGCCCTGACTGCCAGCGACTTGTAGGCCTTTCCATTTAGATACACAAAGTTCTCTGCGAACTCTCAAAGTGACTCCTGTGTGTGTCTCTGGCGGGCCAAAATGTGATATCTAGCCGATGCGGAGGTAAATGTCCGAAGCGCTGACACGGCGCTCCGAATAGAAGGTGGTTGCTTGACCCAGCTCTCTCCGTCTCATGTAGGTCTTAAGGACTTTGTTAGATCCTAATAAACCTCAAGGGTTTAGTAGGAATATCCTACTGGAAGTCTTTAGTTCCACCAAAGAGGGCAACAGTTTAGTGAGTGGGGCCGGTGGAATCGTCATGTGCTAGATGGTGGGAAGGAGGTTCAACTCATTTGCAGTCAACACCTTAGTACCTGGGCATGCCTGGTTGATAAGCCTTACCAAATTTTCCTCCTTTTCCTCTCGTCAGTCGTTTCCGGATCAGTCAATTGCATTTCAGTGTTGGTGCGATTCTAATGTCGGTGACGAACTCTTATCCAAGCCGCAGACTGTAGAATGAACAATATATCATAGATTGTGCGTCCGTCTTTCCTGTCCAAGAACGTCAAAGGACTAGTTTCATCATTATGATTGAGGTGAGAAGAAAATGGTTCATGCATTCGCTTTGAAAACGAGATTGATCAAAATCCGGTGGCCCTACAGGTAGACAAAACGCAAAGTTCATCAATACCCCAGACAAAAGAAATGACCTTAAGATTGCAATTGGTGCCTGTATGTCTCGTGTTTCTTGCGTTTTTCCACCGCCACATACAAAACTTTTGTTTTGTTCTGTCACCCAATTAACGGTGGTCGCCTGACATCATGGCACACAAACTTCGTTTTCTGGTCATATTTGTGGCATTTTGCAGGACTCAGTTAGGTTAGCTGGAGAGGGCGTACTACATAAAGATTACACAAACCTTATCGGTTAGTCTTCTTGCAAAATTTATCCATACGGTTTCGGTTGACCTTTGCGTCGCCCACTGATTGACCTGGTCCGGTCGTGTGCGGCACGCGAATACGAGCTGTTTAGCGTCTCGGCGTTGTCTTGCCGTCAGAGCCTGGTGAATGAGAGAGGAGGAAGTGCGATTGATGCTATACATATATTCACGCGCAAGGCATTAGTTCTGCCTCCTTTCCGTGCGGCACAAGGTGGCCATGGCAGTCAAAGTCAGGCGTTCTGAAGTGCAAAAAATGCTTTAAGCTGATTTCCTGATGGGTCATATATGCGATGATTCAGTTATAACGTATGTACCGGTCGTCAGCCATTAGCGAATAGGGCCTTTATGCACGCGAATTTTGGCTGCAGGTAGCGGTCAGGCAAGGACTTTCCTTGCTAGTTAATGGCGGCTTTCTGATGTAACGCTCCGTTTATTTACTCACCGAAAACAGTACCCTAGTAACCTGATGGACACTTTAAGTGCAACAAACACCTTCTGCCACTGGAAGCACTGTCGAAGGCACACTGCCCTCACTCAGCCTTTTTCTGTATCATTTTTTTGCAGGTAGCAAAGCGAACCGAAATCAGTGCCACTCTTCATCAAGTTGTTGAGAAGTACCGTTTATGGCGAACTGGACAGAGTTCTCTTTGCCTCGACTACATGCCGATCCGCTCGTCCTCACCGTCAAGCAAACATGTACTTCATCTTCTCACAACCTAACTGTGCATAGGGCGCGCGGAATATGCATCCTATACCTGGAGGTCTGCTGAATGTCTGGCCCAAGCCATCGCTCTGGGCGAGATATCGGTCACAGGAAAACGCATTCTAGAGGTAATGTCTGCCTTTATCAATACAATAGTTTAACCGTCGTGAACGACGATGTCCGCCGCGTGATCCGTGGCAGGTTAAGAGCAGGGGCGGTGATTTGCGTGTGATTCCTTTTGTAGTCGTGGCAGACTTGTGCTGCACCTACCTCACCATCTCTTCCCCCGCCTGGGCCCGATCGTCCTTGCGGAACTCACTCGTTCCGTTATGCCTTACGGGCTCTCTCTCGAGTCCAACCAGCAGCCGTGAGCGATCGGCGAGCGCCCATCTACCATTGTATATTTCCGATCGAAACCGAAAGTACAACGGGTCCGTAGCCCAGTGGTTAGAGGCGTTGAAATTCCAACTGACAGGTCGCGAGTTCGAGTCTCGGGTGTCCTACACTTTGGGGTTGGGTATGACTGGCTGATGACGGCTAATAGGCCAGAAATGGCCATTTCAGTCTCCCTTGTCTTTGTTGGTAATGACATACTGCCTATACCATGCGCCGCTGTACGGCTGCTGGTTGGGCTCGAGAGAGAGCCCGTAAGACACAAGGGAACGAGTGAGTTCCGTAAGAACGATCGGTGAGCGCCCACTACCATTATATTTGTTCATATATTTTCGCTTTAATCAGTAATATATATATATATATATATCGGCGAGGAGGGACAACAGAGAATGCGGTTAGACTGATACAGTACTGTTTTGGGTTTATTTTGCTTCCATTTAGCCCATCATAACCCTTACCAGCAGCTAGTACCAGAAACACAAACATGCGCACAGACACACCTGGCGCAATTGGTCCACCACTGAGGTTTACCAGATGGGCCATAGGCACTTCATCTAACCGATGATCATCAGTGCCTCGCCGCCTATCTGTCTCTGTCGCTGTAGATCGGGTATTTATTCGCTCAGGAAGGGGCACACACGATCCACGGGCCTCCCTAAGCAAACAAGCTTCGTAGGGGTGGTAAAGGTCACGAACGGGTAACTAATTACCAGGCCGAAGTCGTCCAAGTCATAATAGCAGCGAGGAAGGACGACAGAGAATACGGGTAAATTGATACAACACTTGGCTGCTGGTGAGGGTTATGCTTGGCTGAATGAAGGCAAGATAAGCCTGAAACAGTACTGTACCAATCTACCCGCATTCTCTGTCATCCCTCCTCGCTGCTATTATGACTTGGCCGAATTCGGCCTGCTAATTGGTCGCCTGTTCGTGACCTTTACCACCCATACGGAACTTGTTTGCCTCGTAGAGCCAATAGATCGGTGTGCGCCCATTCCTGATTGAATATATATATGTGTGTGTGTGTGTGTTGAAGATAGAAGGCTCATCGGGAAAAATCGAGTTGCACTCGTGAATTTTCGAGCTGGTGACACCAACCCGTGTGGCTGATGACGACAAATAAGTCAGAAGTGGCCATTCTGGTCTGCCTTGTCTTTGTCGGTGCCATATCTTTTACTTCTACCCCTTTTCTACGTATTTAGACAAGATGATACCGATAAGGGATACCGCAATGGCCATCTCTGGCTTATTAGCCATCATCAGTCAGTCATACCCAATCCCATCTGCCATAATTGATATTTTCGATCACAACCGACAGGGTAACAAGCCTATGGGTCACTGGAAGAGCGTTCGATTCAGTTACCGAGGATCCCGAGTTCGAATCCGAGGTAATTGACACTTAGGATTGAGCATGACTAGCTGATGACGACAAATAAGTCAGAAATGGCCATTCACTTCTCCTCTGTCTTTTTCGGCACCACCTTATCTACATTGTGCATATGTGTATACGGTAGGGGAGCGCTCGCCGATCGCGTTGCGGAACTTACTCGTCTCGTTGTGCTATGACGCTCTAGCCCCGCTAGCGGCGCATTATATAGATAGAATGGTATTACCGACAAGCACAAGGGAGACTGGAGTGGCCATTTCCGGCTTATTAACCGTCGTCAGCCTGTCCGACCCAGCCCCATGGTGTGCTACACCTAGGGCTCGATCCCGCGACCCGTTAATTAGTAGTCCGACGTCTCTAACCACTGAGCCACGGGCTCGTTGTCCTGTCGGATGCGATCGGGTGCGTACAATGATAGAGGGGTGCTCACCGATCACGTTACGCAACTCACTTATTCCATTGTGCCTTGGGACCCTCTCTCGCGAGCCCAATCAGCAGCCCTAAAACGGTGCGTAGTATAGGCGAAATAACATTACTATCTGCCAGCCTTACCCGACGCCAGGTTTGAGGCAACCTGTGGCTCAAATCCGCCCTTTTTGGTGGGTGCGGATCCGAGCCTCAGGTGCATCAAGTCTGGGGTTGAGTAGGACTGGCTAACGATGTCGTATGGACACTGTCCGAGTAGCATCCGTATTATATTCGGAGTAGCCGCACGACTGGTGTGTTGTTAGTCAGCAGGCACTTCTCCTTTTTCAGCTTGGTGCAGGCACGGGACTGTGTGGTCTGACTGCCCTCAAGTGTGGAGCTACCTGGACGACCTTCTCGGACCTACGTGATGAGCTAATCATGGAAAGCTTGAATGAGAGCTGTCGCAAAAACGATGTCACCGCCTTTGAATTCATAGCCTCAGACTGGAACAACGTGCCGTGTGAACTCCTAAACGTTGACTTTGACCTCATCCTTGCGGCCGACTGCATGTTTGATAAGAAAGGTATCCTTTTTCTTCACTCCACCCTACTTTACCAGTCTACAGAGCATATATGCACTGTGTGATAGACGTATTTACTCCCGGGAAAACTTTATTTTCTATTTCCTTTTCTCCCACTTTAATATGTAGTAGTGCTTTCACCCGAACTTCTCGAGCGCCGGAAGAGCAAGGCCCTCGGGCCTCGACCTGTCAAATTCATCCCCTCTTATCCAGAGAAAAGGTCTGCAATTATTAACCTGCAGCATTATTTTAAGTGTAGTTCACTCTGGCGACTAGCAATATTTTCATCCGGAATGAGGACTGTCTGGGAAGACTGGGTTGGCCATGTCTGGCTTATAGCTATGGCCAGTTAGTCATACCCTATCCCAAGTTCGGATGCCCTGGGATTCGAACCTGGATTCTTTGGTTATTATGCATTCTGCCACTGGACCGGGTACCCGTTGTGCTGTTGGTTCCGTTCGGGAATGTTCACTGGGTAGGATGTGGTTTGGTAGCCCCACCTGATGGACACAATACTGTTGGGATTCGGGTTAAGGCTTAGGGCTATGTGTTATGATTAGGGGTTACGGTTAGGGGTTAGGGTTTATGATTAGGGGTTATAGTTAGGGGTTAAGGGTTAACGCAACTATTTATCAACCCTTCAAAGTACAACCGCGCATTCCCAATAGCTTTACTTTTGCGAACAACTACTTGACCTCGTCGCCTGTGCGTTCCCCGGCGCCACATGTAAAAATCCCTATTACCACAGTCCCGTATTAGAAGTGACTGGGGTTTGTTTACGTCACGTGGGGCTACGTAACCACATCCGATCACTTACTGTCACAGGAAGTTATGGGACGTTCCCTTCTCGTTACGACTTCGTTCTCATTCTAGAGCCCTCTCTGACAGTCGCATAACGACTAGTCATATATGTTGTGTAGTTCTCTGTCCTGCTTATTTCTCCAATTTTTATAGTTTATAGGGACCTTAAGATGAATTAGAAAGGACTCACCATTTCTTGTCTACTTCCATCTTTGTGCTTCCAGTATTTCGCCCCTTCGCCGAGACTGTCTCTTTTCTTCTGCACAAAAATCCCAGCGCCTTCGCTGTTGTGGCCTATGAAAACCGGGGGTAGGACCAGTTTTTCCCCTAATCCATTTCCCAGGTCAAAGAAGGACCTCTTTTGCTTGTTTTCCAGCGTCGGACTGATGATGGAATTAATGCAATCCACCTGTTTCGACTCCGACTCGCTGTTTCTCTTCAAACTCACTCTGAAATGCATTTGATCGAGCAGATTTTTTACCCTTGAGTACGGCTTTTTTATTTTGTCAACAAATTACTTGACTAGATCTCTGCGTTCTTGAACTCTATGGGGTGCCCTGTCACGTAGATAGCGGGAATTCTTCGCAGGTAGAGTCATTTGAGTGGTTATTTTTAGGCCGCAGGATTCATGATCGAGATTGCGCGCCAGTGCAAAATACTCGAAATTTTAGCCAAAGGCAGCTGACCTTGTAACTTTCGAACGGACCATAGGAAGCTACTAACAACGGCCTGACTTTTAAGGTGTTGGTACTCATCAACGACTGACGTTGCAGGTCCGACGGTAGTCGGGGCAACTACCCTTGCGACTGAAGAAGGAGACACGATCGCCTGACGTTTCGGATTCCTGCTCGTGAACACTTGTCCCAACACCAGGGTCGATGCGTCAGATGGTCGAGCAATCGTCACACCAACACCCAACGCACGTGATGCAATTGCAGCAATTAACGACGCGAACGTCGGCCATCAAGCAATTAACATACCACGTGCAACGATCCCGGATGAAGGGCGGAGCCGTGACTGTTCATGGGTATGCGGTAGCATGGCGACTGCATCCTATAAATACTGCAGCCCCTTGTGCGCGAATCACCCGCATCTGCTGTTGTCTCTGATGATGGATTCGAGCAGGAATCCGAAACGTCAGGCTAATAAAGCTCTTGTCCCAGCGATCGTGTCTCCTTCTTCAAGAGTACTTCCTGAGACTCGTCTCTTCGTTTATATTACTTCTGCGACTGCCAAATCGGAGATCGCAGCTGCGGGTGATGGAAACACGGATGACAGAAAAGCGAGGCGCTGCTTCGATAGTTGGTGACGTTATAGGATGGAGAGGCAAGTTTCAGGCAACTACCGGAATGACGGAGACTTGATCAATAAAAGGGTGTTTTTATTCCTCTGAATTCACAGACTAAGAGAGTATGCAATTAGCAGGCGAGGCCTAGCTGCCGATTGCGTATATTTGTAATAAGTATGTCAGTTGCTCTTGTACCGCGAAGTCTTCACGTAGCCCGTTCGTAGCCCGCACGAGTGCCATCCGGGGTAACCTGTCTCCACAGTGCGCTGCTCATTCATGCGCTCCCCTTTGGACAATTAAACTCCGAAGCCCTGAGGTCACAGGGGCCTTGCGTGTGCCGCGGGTCCTTGTTTCGATTGGCTGGCTGAACGTCTGAAAACAACTAACTAAGCAACTATCGTCTCGCATGGTTGTGGCCCCCTTACCCGTGTTTGGGCCTCATCCATCTTCAACATGTGAACCAGCCACTTTGGGTGAGCCACGACCTTGGCCTTCGCGCAGCCGTCCCCCGTCGTCAGCGCATGTTCAGGCGTGCGCGTCCATACCCTCCTGTTGCTCCGTCTGGCTGCAATTGCATCAGTAGATCTTAACAGGCGATGCACTGCGTCCCTTGGCTTTAGGACCCGGCACGTGACGTCCACCTTAAAACCGTAGTTCCTGTCGACTCAGAGTGGCGTGAGACTGCAGATTTCGCTCCTTCCGAGACTTTCTGTGACGCCTGAGCTGTGTGTGTGCACTCCGAGTATCACAATCACCAAGCGAAACCGCATTTATTAGAACAAGACAAAATACATCAAGGGGAGAGGATCTATGCAGAACCCTGAGTCGCTGTCTCAGGCGGCATCTGCCGGACGTGCGTCGACGGTGTTCAGTCACCTCTGAGAGGCAATGAAACGGTAGTGTCAGCCGTATTTACGAGATCGTGGGAGCAGGTTAAGGTCTCTTTGCATTAGCCGATGGGTGGTGGCATACCCAAGCAGGTCCTGGAAGGCTGTGGCCGCCTGAATGCACGCGTGTGGTCGGTCGGACGGTGGAGCAAGCGCGTCTGTAGTTGCTCGCGGTCCACGCAGTCTGCCCAGTTGTGTGCGCGCTTGTATGGAGTGGCGGAATGATGAGCTGAGAACCAGGCTGTCACGACTCCGTCATAACTGGCCTGTGACATTCGCGCATATGAGGAGTAGGTGTGCTTTGTGGGTAATGCCTCTCAGCCGACGACTACTTGGTTGCCCAGCCTTGAGGGGTGACGGCTCAGGCTAGATGCAGGACAACGTGTCGCTATGCCAGGATCAGCAAACCATGGCCCGGGTTGGGGTCAAGAGAGAGCCCGTAAGGCACAACGGCACGAGTGAGTTCCGTGGGAACTATCGGTGAACGCCCCTCTACCATGGTAGCTTTCATTTTGCAAACGTTTGTGATCATGAAAACTTTTAACACCGGTAGATGCCTGTCCAAATAGTATCATACTTATCCGTATATTAATGCTGCTCATAAGGTATGCAACATGATCCATATCAAAATTTTATCAGTTCAAATGGTGCCTTAAAGTTAGTAGCAATCGGGAGATGGCACCCAAAAATCCGCCTAACCAAAGTAGCCTGTCTTACGGGACAGGTGGTTATAGGGGTTTTATGGGGGCTGGCTGGTCGGGATGTATGATACTAGCCGACGGAAAGGCTTATTTGAACAGGTGAATGATTGAAGTTTGCCCGCTCTCCGTTCCGTTATTACAAAATGGGTCACCAAAGCAGTATAGTGGTAACGGACGAGTGGAAGGCGTATAATCGTCTTCACTCAAAAGGTTATCTAAATTTCTCTGTTAACCACTCAAAGAACTTCAAGGACCCTACCACCGGACGGCACACCAATGCCATTGAGGCATACTGGAATAGACTGAAAAGGAAACTCCACGAGGGAGACCCTGTATGTGGTCGAGCTATGTGGGCTCACATAGACGAAGTACAGTGTCGTCTTTGGTTTGGCCTCAATGCCATGTCTTTGACAGATGCCTGGGAGCTGTTCCTGTCCCATGTTGTGCAAACTTATTCTATTTAAAATTGATTTTGTTTTGTAATAATCTGCCTTAATGCGAATGTATGCCCTATATTCAGGTGTACGTGTGTGACGGTGGGGAAGGTTGGGTAACAGCGACCATTGTCCATGTAACCTGCGATGTTCGTTCGGCCAGCCCATGTTAGGCCGTCGCGAAAAGTCCGAGTAGTGCGTGAAAGTAGGCCTACAACCGCTGATATAGCCTGAAGGCGTTTGAGTCCACTTTTAAAGGTATTATTTCTAGGTAACGGATTTTTTTGGGTGCCATCTCCCTATTGTTACCTTAAAGTTTAGAGAAACATACGTTTCCTTAAGTAAAATGCAAACAGCTTTTAGACTGGAGACTAAAATAATTCGACAATTGAAACCGTCCCCAAAGTTCGAATATACCTTTAGTTCGGGAAGAAACTTTGAAAAAGACATGAAAAGCCACAACATGGGTACAAGAAAGTATACTTTTCTTTATTCTTTCTTTAAGGTATGTTTTGGTATAAAAGGCCCTCGACGACCGATGGACACAATTCACATTACTAATGTAGTAATTTTTTAGCGAGTGTAATGCTTGCAGATTGCCCGAAAGACCTGCATTTAACACTCCACAGCCTGGTGTTAATATTGCAACCCATTTTAAGCAAATCTTTCTGACTGAAATCCCATTTACGAATTTCAGTCAATGCTCCATGAAATACGTAACCTTTGTTCTGCCATGACCAGCAAACCATGGCCCTCGCAACCTAGTGTGCGCTGGCAGTTCCCCAGTACCTGGTTCTCCGGAGGTAGATGTGCTTGCGCACCCGCTGGGTATACAGGTCGTGGGCATGGCTGCCCAGTCATCCCTCTCACTTTAGCCCGTCGTGGGGCTGTTGTTTAGAATTTTGGTATATTGTTGTGTGGAGTAGGGAGTGGAGCGTCTAGGTGCAGGTTCGGCCGCGCCACACCCCGCCTCCGGCCCTCTTGACTCTGTCTCGACACTGTGCTCAGATATGGGAGGAGGAGAGTGTGCGGCAGATAGAACGCAAGTCTGCACTCACTGTAAACTAGTTCACACGCAAGTCACCTTGCCTGCTTCACCTTGCTGTGGAACACACGGTGGACATCGTCGGATGCGACGGTCGAACTGTCAGTTGCTCGCTCGGACGGCGAGCGACCTTGACTGGTTAGTCCGTGCGACGTGGGACGACAGCTTTTGGCTTCCGGGATGCTATTTCTGCATTAGAAACGCCCAACGCAACTAGGACTACTTTCGCTTAGAGCCTGGCTGGCACTTCGAGCTTGATAGTCAGGTCACTTCCTTTCGTTTGGCTGCGCTGCTCCCGAAGACGTCCTGGAGGTTGCTAAGTTCTGTATCCGTGGGATGTGCACTGCTTACCCGAACGTGGTTTTTAAGAATCCACTGTACAACAGAAGAGGATTTGAAGGAATAGCAGTTGCTACGGCCATTTCTAGCGTGGTTACGGATGCGCAGTTACCTTGAGGACGTGCGGAGACAGGAGGAGGGATGGGGTTATTTCCTTCACCGATTCCTACCATTTCAGTGCAAGGTTGATCACGCCTGCATAGGTCCCGGCTTCTGAACGGCATAGGAGACACCTAGTCGTCGCACGAAGTAGGACATTAAATGCAGCTCCACAAATCAGAGAAGTGTAAGCAGCAAGGTTGTGCCTAATTGGTTGTCGCATTAACCCCTGGGAGAGTTTACGTTGGTGTGAATTACTCATAAATAAGTTTGGTTGTAGCGATGCTCCTGATTTATGCGTTTTTGGTAGCCCGTGTAGTCTGGAGATATGTGAACTGCTAGGTCTAAGATATTTTACCGTTTTCTCGTCAATTGTTTGATTTTCAAGTATCTATTTCACCTTTTTCCAATTAGGTTGCCCAACGCTTTTTTCGCTGTAACCCGGATTCGCCGGCCTATACAGCATCCCTCCCCCTCACTCTCGCCACTTCCATGCGCATGTCTGATTGGCGTTCCCTGTTTTTTACATATTGCGTTTGACCACCTAGACTGTTTCCTTATTGAACAGTTAATCATTTTAGTATGCACTGACCGTCAGCAGTTGAATAGGAAGTCAAGAAATTTTCTGGGGTCATTGAATTCTGCATGTTTTCGCGACTTTGTCTTGTAAGAAGCAAGGCATTTAAACCTCCAAAACATGCCTACTTAATTGCCAACAGTAGACAAGTGTCATGCACTGAAAAAGGGCCGAGCGCACCGGTATGTCATCCAAATTTATCGCGGCTAAACGATGCCTCAGTCATTAGTCGTCGCGTAACAGCCATGCCCAACCCCATGTTTGGACAGTCTAGGTTGCGAAACTGGGATCTTTGGTCATTGAGCAATAAGTTCAGCGCTGTGCCATTCTGTTTCGTGTCCGCTGTCCTGTCGGTGGTCGGGTTTACACATTGTCGTGGAAAGGCGTTCACCGATCAAGTTATGGGATAGGTTCGTCCTGTTGAACCTTGGGGCTCAATCTATAACCCTCGCAGCAGTTGCATAGCGATCAGTGTTAACGCAGGAATGAATATCAACAAAGATGAGTGAGACTCGAGTGGTCATTTTTGACCTATTAGCTGTCGTCGGCCATCCATGCCCAACACCGCGTTTGAACAGCCTGTGATCAGAACACGAATTCCTCAGTCACTTCAACAACAGTCTAATCCGGATGGCCTTGAGATACCCCTTTTTACCCTAATTTCCGATGCCATTGGAGGACGGACTTTTACGTGACTTCGGGCGCTAGTACCTGTAATCATTGTTGAATCTCCTCGGCTATGGCTTGAAGATTTATGGACCCGTCGTTGCCACTTAACCTATCCAAGCGTTAAGTAAGCTCGCTTTTCAATTTATTTGGAGAAAATGCAAACAGATGCCCTTGAACTCCCCATAAGAGAGATGTCAGTAACATCCGGTATTCCCAACCGGTCATCCATACTAGTACAGTTTGAGACCTACCAGATGAAGGGTCACGAACTTCGCACTAAAACCCTAGCAGCGCACGATTCGCCCATCCTACGCCCCTAAAAGTTATACTGCGTTAGAGAAATGACCGGTTTTCAAGAGAAATCATAGTTTAATTTATGAAGCACTGTTTATTAACTAAAAACGAGAGTGAACTTCGACGGCCGAACAAAAGCCGATGCCTTCTACGTGCTATGAATTCAAGTGTCAAAGGGTCAGCAATATCGCTTGGTAACTTCAGAATCCACGAAGCCTTCTCCTGTCTGACGATCGATTGTTTTCGTCAGTAGCACTTTCTTTGGCCTCCCATCTCCTCTAAAGCGGGACTAGGTCGTGACTATTATGGCGTTCTGGGCACACGCTGCAGGTCCCTCTTCAGAATCAGCCTCACCCCCTCCCTCCCCAAACACTAGGCGGCTGTCGGAGCCTATCAGCCCGTGACCACGTCGTGTCGCGGGCATGTACAGTTGTGACCAAGGACACACGTCAGCTCTGTACAGGCCTGTCATAGGCCATGGTGACCTTAGTTTTTGTATACGACAATTCGACCCTCGTAAGGGATGAAGTTCACAGCGCTCCCCACGAAGTGGGCACGGCATTGGTCACTAGTTCGTGGTCAGGTGGACTTGCGCCGCGTCTGGCACACTAAACCCCCCCTCCCTCATCCGCCTGTCTCCGCTGTCAAGAGTATCGGAGACGGGCTCGTTCGCAGTGGCTAATAAAGACAAATGGCCCCTCTACGCGTTCTGCATGCGTCCTGGCCTCAATTCCGCGTTTGCCAAGCTCTCGCAATGGTGGCTGGAACCCCAGGTGTGTGTGAGAATGTCACACGGGTCACATTGAGGAGAAGTTATTGTAGCCTGGGTCTCAGTCCTGCGAAGGACCGAGAAGTGCCGTCAGTTGAAAACCTTCTGAGCTGTGACTCCTAGGACCTCGTGTTAGATTCAAGCCCGTCAGATCTATTATACTGAGGAATGCGCCGCTGTACCGTGGGATACACCGCCGCCCCCCTTCCCCTCAGCGTTGGCCTCACTACATATTTTCTCTCCTACGCACCAGCCAGCTCTCTGAGTATGTTATAAAACTGGCGATGGAATTGGGCGCAGTAACTGACACGGTGTGAAAGTCTACGTCCACGGCGGGTCACATGCATATATGGCTGTAGCCTCTGGCTCCCCTCGGACTCAACGTAGCCGAGCCGTAGGCAGGTCTGGCTCGCGTGTAGCGTAACCCGTTGTGGGTGTCCCGAGACGACTTCGACGGTAACCAGTTCACCGCCATTTCGATCTTCCGTTTTGAGAAAACTACTGCCTATTAAACTCAACTTTATCAATACGCAGGGGAAGGTGAAAGGTAGGAATTGACACGTCAAAGAACAATCTCAGGATAGAAAAGCCTATCAAATTTCAGGGAAGTCTCTTCGGCAAGGAATGACCCGCTTTCTATGCCCCGTCCATATCTAGATCTCCTCCGTAGAGGACGTAGGAGTAAAGTTCAGGATGCTGGGCAGTCTATCAGGCACTTGGCTCTTCCTCACAAGCTCCAGCTGTGTACTCATTTCGCTGTTGTAGCTGAAGGAATCATCCTCAGCCTCTCCCTCCGTGGAGGGAACTGCATTGGGGTCCTTTAATAGATTCGGCTGCACGACGATGGACAGACGTTTGGGAGCTGCAGGGGCCGCGCCTGACGCAGCCGACGTTCCGCCAACAGTAGCAGCAGCAGCAGCAGCGGTGGCCCCACCACCACCACCACCGCCGCCAGTAGAAGTAGGCTTGTCAGTGACGCTCGCGTCCGTCTTCAAGCCACCGGTCCGCGCATTATACAGCTCCAGGGCCGTGATAGCGTCCGCCTCGAAAATAGGCAGTCTGACAGGGGCATTAAGCCTGCAGAACTCCATAATGTCCAGAATTAGGTCCTTGTTCTTCAGATTGTTGTCCTCGTAAGCTCGCAGAATTTCTGTGTAGAGCAGAGCTGGCAGATCGTCCCACTCCTGGGCCACTTTGGCGCGTCGCAGTTCCTCTACGGCGGCGGCACCCTTGTCGCCCTCCGGCACCTCGCGTCGGTCAATAAGCTTCGCCTCCTCCTTCAACTCGGGCAGACAAAGAGTCAGGACGTAGAGGATTTGAAAGAGCAGGGTACGAGTCATCTCCTTTCGACGGAAGATGCGGCACTCGTAGAAGTGGTAGAGTTTGGGCAACGGTACGCTGTTCAAGATGTCCGCAATGGTGTAGTAGACCACACCGATCAGTCGATGGTGCACTTCGGCGAAGTCGTAGGTCTGTCGAGGGAAGTGGAAAGCCATGGGTTTGCCTCGGATGAGTTCCAGGTCATTGTGTCGTTCGCGAGCCTCGCGGTAGGCATCGATGTGGTTCTCCCTCGGTACCATAGCAATGGCCATGGTTCGGATGAGCCCGGCAATCAAGGACTCAATTCCACCCTGCATGCCAAGGCGGAATTTGCGTGCTATAAATGCCGCCGTAAAGCAGGCCTCTTCAGCCAGCTCCTCGTGCTCCAGGTTTAGACAGTAGACAAGGGCACTGATCACCTCCTGAGAGTGTTTCTGCATCCACTCAGACAGGATGGTGAACTTTTCCGGCGTATTAGCAATCTCGCGAATGGTCCGCATACCGTGGGCCTTCTCTGTAACACCGGCCATAGTTCGTCTCTTGCTGCCTTCTTCACCGGAGAAGTCGCTCAACATCTGGAGAATACTCTCAATTCGACTGAGAATGTGCTCCTTCTTGGTGCTGACGTAGGTTCCTACGGCTGCCAAACGACTAAGGAAGACGCTTCTCGGTAGCCCAGTAACACTGGGCAGGTAATCAAGCACGTGATTGGTTACACCCTCGCAGATTTGATTGACATAGCGTTTGTAGGCCTGCTTAGCATGCAGCGAGTGTCGTTTGTTCGCATCGTGAAGAATCTGACTGGTGACGCTGCTTTCGCTGAGAAGACTCCTCTTCACCATCGGTCTGCCTACTTGTTCTACGGGTTCTCTCAGAGGCTGCACAGTGACTTTTGATTCGTCAGTCAGTCAATGCGATCAATAAAAATCATGTCACTTTGAATCTGGCAGCGTTGGCTTAATGCTAGGCCAGTGAAGGTAGAGGCCGTTGACGTTTCGGATAGCCTGGTGTGACCCCTATATGCAGGGGGTGGCATGTCTCATGAAACGTTGACTGGCTTTCTGAAATGTGCTCTTGATTAGAAGGAAGTTGTAATATTGTGGAGTTGAAATATGGATTATCATACAACATAATGCGGAGGTATTGCAGTCGGACCAGAATGCCCGCTTTTAAAGAAGCACCTTTCCGGCAGCGGGCAAAGACAGTACTCAGTAAAAATTATTACTTAAATAGTACGAACTTTTGTCGTTGGTCTTATAGGAAACGAGCCCAAAATATCCTTTATTTTATTCAGTTTGCACAAGATCACGCCTTTTTTAAATGTTCTATTTAAAGAAACGGTAGTCTTCATAGGCAGAATGTTATTACCGACAAAGACAAGGGAGACTGGAATGGCCATTTCTGGCCTATTAGCCGTCGTCAGCCAGTCATACCCAACCCCGAAGTGTGGAACACCTGGACATGGCGGGCTGACGACGGCTAATAAGCTAGAAATGGTCATTTCAGTCTCCCTTGTCTTTGTCTGTCATAACATACTGCCTATATCATGCGCCGCTGTACGGCTGCTGATTGGGCTTGAGAGAGAGAGCCCGTAAGGCACAAAAGCACGAGGGAGTTTCGTAGGAACGATCGGTGAGCGCCCCTCTACCATGGTAGCTTTCATTTTGAAAACGTTTGTGATCATGAAAACTTTTAAGACCGGCAGCTGCCTGTCCAAACAGTATCATACTTATCTGTCTATTAGCGCTGCTTATAAAGTATACAACATGATCCATATCAAGATTTTATTGGTCCAGATGGTGCCTTAAAGTTTAGAGAAATATACGTTTCTTTAAATAAAATGCAAACAGCTTGTAGATTGGAGACTCTGAAATAATTCGACAAGTGAAACCGTCCTCAAAGCTCGAATATACCTTTATTTCGGGAAGAAACTTTGAAAAAGACATGAAAAGCCACAAAATGGGTACAAGAAAGTGGACACATTTAAGAGGAAACTTGACCAGTACAGGGATATGTACCTCCACGGCATCAGAAACTAACAAATTTCCCCCTGTACCACCCCGCCAAACTTCTACGTTACGAAGCATGCTACTCCCTATATTTGCGTAGCACTACTTTATGACTTTTCGTTATATCCTGACCGAAGCATTTACGTTTGCTTCGATATTACTTGCTTCATTCAGCACCGCCTACTTCTTATTGTACAATTTTGACATAGAAGGCATTCACAGACAAATTTATACCAGTAATCAATGCTTGTTGTATGTAATTACTTACCTAATTTTCTTTGACACTTGCCTTACACATTGTCTTTTTATGACGTTATTACAACCAAAAGAGAGTTCAAAGGCGCTCGCCTATCTTTCCCTTAATAAGTCTGATCTGATCTGAAGAAAGTATACCTTTCTTCATTCTTTCCTTAAGATGTGTTTTGATATAAAAGGCCCTCAACGATCGATGGACAAAATTCACACTACTAAGGTAGGAATTTTTTAACGCGTGTAATTCTTGCAGATAGCCCGAAAGACGCGCATTTAACAGTCCGCATCCTGGTGTTAATATTACAACCCATTTTAAGCAGAGTTTCCTTACTGAAATTACATTTCCGAATTTCGGTCAGTGCCCCATGAAATACGTAACCTTTGTTATGCCATGACCAGCAAACCATGGCCCTCGCAGCCTAGTGCACGCTGGCACTTCCCCAGTACCGGCGGTAGATGCGCTTCCGCTTCCACTGGGTATACAAGTCGTGCGCATGGCTGTCCAGCCATCCACGTCTTTTCTGTTGTTGTTGTTGGTTAAACGTTTTTTGTGGACAGGCGGTGTGGAATGGAGCACCCAAATGCAGGTTCGGTCGCCCCATCCAACTGCGCCCCCGTCGCCTCCGGTCTTATTGACTCTGGCTTGACACCGGGCGTAGGTTAGGAGGAGGAGGATGAGAGAGTGAGTTAGATGTTGCGCAAGTCTACTCTCACTATAAACTAACTCACATACAAGTCGCCATGTCTGCCTCATCCTGCTGTGAAGGACAAGGTGGACATCGTCGGATGTTACGGTTAAACTATTACGTAACCTAGTGTACCTCTACATCTCAAGGACTTTATCTTGCCCCCTCTAATAGTTGCTTCAATTGAGATAACCAGAGCGAGGGGGCTATTTAACTGAGAAGAAAAAGGGAGCCCTAGCAGGCAAGCCGGTACAAGCTACAGTTTCGGACGGTGAGCTATTGCACGAGTTCGGGAGTTCAGAAAAACGGGCAAATGGTTTCGAGGTTCTAGGAGTTCTCTTCTTTCCTGCTCATACATACACCCGGAATTCGTACGTGGATGATCGATAGATCGGTCCACCCTAATGCACGCATTTTAACCCAAAATATGGACCTAATTCTAGAAGGAAAGAAGAGGTGACTTTTTCAAAGCAGACCTCGAAGGCTTCCTTTTCAGACCTGCACGTGCGGAGTTACGGTTTCGCATGGAGCTGTACCCTTTAGTCGAAATCTGACAACTTGGGAAGACGTCTTGTCTTCTGCTGGGGTCGTTATGAAGATGTTGAGGAAGGACAGAGGTGTCTATGCAAGAACCCCTTCAAGATTTCCCTCAAGCACTGTCAAATCAACCCGAAGACCTCAAAACTGTCAGACATGGCGTACTACCGCAGATACTGGGGCGACTACCTTCGAACCCAACCAGATAGTCATTTCCAGGGTAAAGAGAGACCCGTAAAACAGTAATACCAGTAACCAACCCCTTTGGAAGTCCGCGCTCCTTGTTCTCTGTCGCCTGTCTTGCCGACCTTCGCTCCACCTCACACGCCTTGTCGATTCGCTGCTGGGACCTCATGAGTCTTGCCACTAGCCTCGCGAGAGCTCGGGGCCAATCAACGCGCTCCTTCTCTGATTGGCTGGCGGAAGCTAAGTGGGACAGAGTGAAGGGCGCACACGCGTTGGTGGGCTAAGAACCACGACGGCGGGCACAGACGACAAAACCTACCTGGAGAGACCGCTTGAGGCGACTTCTTGCAGAGCCTTGTGTACGCACTTCTTCAGCAGTAAAGGTTGTCCGTCTTCCCTGACTTCTGATCTTGGAACCTTTGTCTTGTCAACTATTATGCCTCTTTCGACACTCCCACCATCGTGCGCACACTGCTAACGGACATTCCGGGTACAGATCCCTTTCATTGAACACTTGTGGTCTCAATGAAATGTTAAAACTCGTCTCCATTTCCACAAAACACCTTAACCACAGTCTCCGTTACTACCACCAGTCGAGACACTACCACCAACCTTCGAAATGTCACCACCATTGCCCCTACCACCAACAGTGTCGGCTCACTTTCAATCTGTTCGTAAATTGATTGCACTTTCACGTCACGCATCGGCCCGTTGGGTCACTTAGGAACCCATCGTACGCTGACCGGCAAACCCGTGCCTGTTTCCGTCTCACCTACCATCACGGGAGTCTTTTCGGCCCATAACCCACCATCTCACTTTGCCCTACCTGCGTACCCACCCCTAGGCCACATATGAATCTGCTCCAGACGACATTTCAAGCATCGCGAACGTCCACGTCCACCATGCGTTCCACGAAGTGAACGCAGCACCGGTGACTAGGGCGTGAATTAGTTTATAATGAGGCTGACTTGCGCAGCATCTACCGCACTCTCACCTCACGCACATAACTTGCTCCGACGACAGGACTGCGTCAAGACTACCGGCGGCGAGTTCGAGGGGGAGGGTGGCTGGGGCCTTGCTTGCGTAAGAGTGTCCCAAAGGCCACGTCGAGAAGGGACCATTGCAGCTTGACCCCCACTTCTGAGATCGACCGAGTTATTCCGCCAGTTGAAAAACTTCCAAGCCACTACTACTAGGGCTTCTTGACAGATTTAGGCAAGCCAAATGTACTATAATGAAGACAGACCATCGGCTCCCGGTCGCACGAAAGCAAGACAGCCACAGCTTGATTTTTTTGACGAAAGCGGAAGAAGTAACCGGTGTTATAAATTCGGAAAATGCTGCGGAAAACTGCCAAGTCAGAGGACTCCTACCTAGTGCAGTAAAATGCATCGACAAATATTGAGGCCACACACCGACGGATATGTATTTCGATGCGGAAAGCTCTAAGAAAGGGCTCAGTTTATGAAGGCAGCAGACTTACCATCAGGACAATAACGAAAATATGGCTGGCCTCAGAATGAAAATAATGCGAAGAGGATATCGGCGTGTGTCATACAACAGCGGCGGACTGGTATGCACTTTGTCAGAATGTCTGCTCCGCCGCCCTAATGAAAGAAACAAACTTTATTGGCGGTCCCGACGGGGAAGTCCAGATTGATGAAACAGTGGTCAGCAGACGGAAATACAATGTTGGAAGACTCAGAAGGAAGTTTTAGATCGATGGTATGTATGATACTGTACGAAAGAGAGCACCGTTTGAACAAGTAAACGACAGAATTTGGTCAGCCTTCAGATCTGTCATTAAGAAATAAGCGGCCGAAAGAATCACATTAGTGTCTGATGAATGGAAGTCCTACAAAAGCCTCCAATCATTCAAAACATTTCATGGATCCGACCGCAGGAAAACATTTCAATGCAATTGAGGCCTATTGGAACAGAATAAAACGGAGGCTCCACGGAGGAGTATCGGTGTCTGGTCGAGTAAGATGGTCTCACCTAGACGAAGTTTGATATTGTCTGTGGTTTGACATGTACAGCGTGGGACTAAAGCAAGGTTGGAAAATATTCTTGTGGCATATTTAACTACCACTTCTAGGTGAATTTTTATACCTAAATTCAGCTAAATTTAACTGTCTGATTACTGGTTATGTGAGGGAGTGCGTTCAAGTC